TCAAACAAATCATTTCAGTATTTCGTGGAACATCATAGTGGTTTTTTTTTTTGTTTCAAGATTGTTGCGGCTCTTTTGGTGTGTTGTTCTGATATTTTGGGTACTATTTGGATTTTTTTACCTGGACTGTGTGATACGATCTTAATACGACTGGGTCGTTGGTTTTCGATAGTCTCAGTCTTATTCGTCAAAGTTTACGCATTCGTAATAATGAAAAAATTTACAAAAACCTGATTTTTTTTTTTTTTGATATATATTTAATATTGCCTGCATCCTCTCTTTTGTTAATTTGATGGGTTTGGAATCTTTAGGATTGCTCTCGTCATGTGTTAATTCAAAGCCAGTGCCGACTCCGTGTTCTCTCGCACCTCGATCAGTGATGCACCCTCGTGAATACTGCGACAAGTAAGAACCTCGTGAACGGCCCGGACAATATATATAGCTAGGCATGCACATGTTAAATAATCTGACATATTTTTTTTAATATAAAAGGTTATGTGTAGATAATATTGTACATATACAGTATAATTATTTTTTTTAAGATCTAACTCTGCATTGCATTAAACAGCTGTTGAAGACAACTTACACGTATATTTCAGAATAAGTGATCGAATTTACCCCGCGTCCTTAAAATCAGTAAGGGTAATTTCGACCAAAATCAAATGGACGTTTCTTGTGCATTTTGAGAGAAATCCAAGATAAATTTGTAAAATTCTGCAACTTAAAGATATTCCAAGAAGAAATAAAACAATTTTAATTTAACTCGTATTGTAGACTGTTGAACAAGGTTAAACTTAAAAAGAGGTTGTACGAGTTGTCTCTCTTGCATTTCCTTGATCAAATCAAGCGCACTGAAGACTGGGACTTCGAACGTCAAACTGGATACATAAATGATAGTTAAAAATATTATTTATATCTCTGATCAAGCCATATTTGCGATGAATAATTATACTACGACACACAATTTGAGGAATAGTTTTCTATAATTCCAAATAAATTAAACTTGTCTCAACACTTCCGTAGATCTTTGTGTGGTTTCGAGTTCCTGTGGTCGAAATTAAACGGTGGTCGAAATTACCCTGACTTACCCTAGCAACTGTGCCTTCGCAAAGCGCTCGGCAGTTTGAACTGAAAGTTGCGGGTCATACGGATGAGACCTTAAAAACCGAGGCCCGTGTCACGTTAGGAGTCGGTACGATAAAGAAACCTCACTGTTCAATAGCCTTGAGTGTCGGGTAAAAGTCTAAATTTGAAGCCCTTCATCGGTATATGGTAACGTCTCTATATGCGTGTCGTAACAACATACGATCAATCAATAAATACCAGGATTTTTTCATGCGGCACCAAAAACTTTCTTATTAGTGATAAGTTGAATATACCGAAATCTCATGATCCTAAATTTACCAATAATAATAACAATAATAAATAAATGAACGATAATTTGTAGCTTTTACTTTCATTTTAAAATTCCAAAATGTCTTCTTTTTATTATAAAATAAAAAAAAAAATTCTCCTATTTTTTAACATTCTCGCTACACTTCGTCAGCTATTTTGTTAAACAGACAATAAAAAGTTGGCCTGAGTCTAAGGTACGTGTATTTAGTGTTCAATCTTATCAGTAACATCCGATTATCACTGATAACTAAATAACAATAATAATTAAAAGGGAATCACAGACAACAGTGCGAAATATGCATCTAACACAGGTCACTTGTGAATCTCATCTATGTGTACCACATGTTATACAATGGGACATGCATCAGCTTGAAACTTGTTTAAGAAATGTTTTTAAACAACAATGTCTAACTCAAGATTAATATATGCACATATTAAAGGCAAATAAAAGTTGTAAATCAGACACACATTAGTGTTTTCTCCACACTGGATAACCTGATAAACACTGGATAACAATGTATAGAGCATTCATGATTAGAATAAAAGACCATGTACTTTATTATTTTTCTGGAAAAAATACGCTTAAAATTTCCTAAGAGTGAGAGGAGTAAGTAAATACTTGACAGCAGATTACATGAAATATTAAGTATGACTCTTTCATACTAGAAATGAGATGTTCCTCTTGGTTTTTGATGAAAAAACTTCTGACATGTGGCAGTTTAAACTGTACATGTACGAAGTTCACAAGTATAGTTTTCTCCCTTGGCTTCAGATCTGGATACTCTTACATAGAAATTATCAGGAAAACCAGGGTTTTTTTTCTTAACAAACAAATAAATGTATGGGGAAAAATGACCGTCAGTAAGGTCAGTACTAAAGGTCATAGATCAAACCCAGCTAGAAGTCGACTGTGACTGCAGTATTTAGATATACATTAAATACAGAAATAAACATAGATATGGTAGCACATGATATTGTAGTTTCTGATCTATGAATGCAGTTTAGATGTTACCCCTAGTTTCAGTAAAGTTAATGATATCCCTTCTGGAGAAAGATTTATTTGAATACATTAAAAATTATCAACCCAATGGAGTTCGTCCAAATTTGATCAAAATAAGTTGTCATTTATTTATTCCAATATAACCTGATAATACATACAGAGCCCAGAATGTGCCTCAATCAATAAATATAAACCCCTTGACCTTGAGCATGTGGCATCACAATCTCTTATCAGTAAAATAACTTATTTTAAAGTATTCTCATTTTATAAAACAGAAATTTTTGGAAAAAGGAAATTTTGTATCCTTGACATTTTGTACGTTTGAATATCCCGAAAATTTATTTGTCATCTATCCACTGTTGATTTTGGTATATTCAATAGGTTGTAAAATTCTTAGCTATCGTACCGCCTAAATGCTAACTGGACAAAATTCGCAGACTTATATAATCACTAATTGTCTTCTTTTAATAACCATTTATAGGTTAAAATTTAAATTATTGAATTAGAAATGCCATTTTAATAATGTTGACCTTTAAATTTGATGATTACCATTTCCAAAAGATCAGCAGATCACTCAATGACCAACCTCATGATTAAAGCTTAAAAAAAGTGATTTTTTTTGGGGGGGGGGGGAGGGGGACATGTATGTAATTGAACTATTTAAAGGATAAAACAAATAAGAGTATATTACACAAATAATACGATAGAATATGGTTAAATGCATAAAAATATTTGATAGAAAAAGAAATAAATCCTGGAATTCCTGTTAAAGGGAAAAAAAGGGAGTAAGAAGAAATAGAAAATCAATCAACGTGATTTTCTAAGTAAGTTGTATTTAAAGTCACTGATAAGCTACAATTATCAGACTTTTGACCCTTTCCAATTTGACTCATAAATATGTTAAAAACAAATTCATTTGATAACTTTATCAGGTCGATTTAGATAAATCACATGATCTCAAATCTAGAATTAGGAAGGGCTATTTGATTAAATTTTAGACTGGTTAAGGAGATCATTATGGAATATCAGGTAATGCTTTCATGTAAACCTAATAGCTTTGTTGTACATTTAAATGATTGTTTTACTTACAAATGAGGCAATTGTAGTGTTTTATACATTTTTCGGCACCTACTTGTCTTGGGGTATATTTCAATAGTTGGTTAAGTTGAAATGAGGTTGTATATCAATTTCCATTACTGATACATTTTTTTTAGACATACCGATGTATAACCTTATAATAGTGTAATGTCAAGGATTGAATTTAGTATTTATCCTTAATTTGTCTAGAAAGTTTAAAAACTGTTTGATACAGACGTTTTGAGAGACTGTACAGTCATAAAACAGATTGATTGATCGATTGAATATTTATAGTGTAACACCGAGAAAGCCATATGTCAGACACATTACAGCGATGTCTTCAGAATCTAGAATTATACTTGATTTATCTAAAATTCAAAATTAATTGAAAGCTTGTATATTCTAAAGTTTTGAAATAAAACTTATTAATGTAAAACTTTTACCTCAAAGATGCATTCCCATACACAGAGTTGTAGACTAAAAAAAGGAAATCAAATGTCATGAAATACCAAACATTCGCATATGTTGTAAAGCCTGTTTCCATTAGAATTGTATGTTTCATTTGCACGTGTAATTTTGATCGATGTGCGATGCCAATTTTTGTAAACCAGGGGGATATTTATTCTTAACTTTGCTTTCCTAAACACTCCGGCATTTTGAAGTGCTTTGTCAGTCTACTCCCGTTTCTAACACTCAGATATCTTGAAGTACCTTATGTCTTTTGATATTTTGCAGTTCCAATTAAGTGCTATTGTGTTTTCTCCAACATTCAGATGCCTCAAGTACACTTCTAGTCCTACTATGTTTTCTCGAATACTCGAAGATATCGAATTACATAATCAGTATGTAAATATCAGTAAGAAAAATATTAATTTTTATATCTTCGAAAAATTCGTTATTTAAATGCTAACAATTTTGACACGTACACTAACCGTCATGCATTTCAATAATGTCAACAAAATCTACCAAATTGAATTTAATATTTTAAGTCCTACATACCAACTCTTCATCAAAATAATTAATATTAGTATTTCTTGTTTTAATTTAATGTTGTACACACCCTCAATTAGTGGAACAAATATATATGTATATATGTATTTGTATGTAATAATACTCAGCAATTTGTTTTACAGCATCACCGTCATTGAACAAGATACCTATTATGGACCCCCATTACAGTGCCCAAGACATCCTCCTCTGTGACTTGTGTCAAACAGCTGCATTACAGAGTCATTGTGAACTTTGTCAGATTAACCTGTGTAAGACTTGTGTTGGGGAGCATCTCTCTGTTTCGTCTAAAAGACACAATGTTGTACCATACAAGCAGAAAAATTCTTCTGCTCCAAGTTATCCAAATTCCAATAAACATAACAAATCAGATGCTAAGCAAAATATAAAGGCTAAAGCGAAAGACAAAGAAAAAGACTTGGAAGAACTAGAGAAAAAAATCTATCCTGCATATGAAAAATTTTCATTTCATTTGAACTCCGAAAAATTAAACTTGGGAAAACATTATGAAAAACTGACGATGGATATCATCAAGGAAGGAGAAGACTGGCACAGAGAAATTAACAAGGTTGTCGACAAATATTTATCTGAAATTGATGAGATGAAAAATAAACATCTAGCTGCTCTAATTAAACTGGAAAATGAAGTTAAACAGATTACTTCCGATTTAAAAGAGATTATTCTTGATCTAAAGAGAATGCTAGAATCCAATGATATTTCCATAATCTCTGCGTACTATTCCAGGAATGCTGAATTCAGAAGTTTACCTCCTAAAATTAGTGTTTCCTTACCTAGATTCTCTCCTCATCATATCCACACAGACAAACTCTATCAAATATTTGGTTCTCTATCCACCTTATCTTTTACAACACAAGAACATGAGACAACAATGGAGGCATCAGAAATGATGACCTGTCCTCCAAAGAATCAATTGCTTTATGAATCAAAGCTCACTGCCACCATAGACACCAGATATGAGCTATTATACAGCGTTACCTGTCTTGATGATGAAGAAATCTGGACATGTGGAGATGACAGAACTATGAAACTCTACAATCTCCAGGGCAAACTACTGAAGACAATCAAAACTAAATCAGGGAATATACCATGTGACATAACAGTGTCAAGGAGTGGAGATTTAGTGTATACTGACCGAGAAACAAGAACTGTTAACATAGTGAAGAATGAAAAGATACAGGAAGTTATCACACTAAAGTGGTGGATACCCTACTTTGTTTGTAGTACCTTATATGGTGATCTCCTGGTCACTATGAAAACTGACGATGGAGAACATTCAAGAGTTGTCCGATACTCTGGCTCCACAGAAAAACAAACCATACAGTTTGATGATAAAGGTCAACATCTGTATTCACCTTATTTTCTGAAATACATCAGTGAGAACAGGAACCTGGATATCTGTGTGGCTGACTGTGGAGCCCATGCAGTAGTGGTGGTTAATCATGCAGGAAAACTCCGATTTAGATACACTGGCAATCCCTCTACGAACAAGGGATTATTTAGCCCAGCTGGTATCACAACAGATTGCCAAAGTCAGATTCTTACGTTAGACAATAAAAACAACTGTATCCACATCCTAGATCCGGATGGACAGTTTCTCCATTATGTTGATAATTGTGACCTTCATCATCCAAGAGGTTTATGTGTCAACACGAGAGGCGACCTCTTTGTCGCTGAATGTCACAGTAGTAAAGTGAAGAAAATAAAGTACATGTAGGAGCTCGAGATTCAATAATTATGCGGTGAATTATAATTATCAAGTGTATTTCTGCTATAACGCTTGCCATCAAACAATACAACGTCTGAAATGATATGAAGAATTTGTACGAGGGTTGTTCGGAAAGTTCGTGGACTACCGTCAGAACTTTTTTACCAAACGTCATATCATATCAAAATTTGGAAGAAATATTTCAACAGTAAATTCAAATGATGTGCATTAAATTTTCAAAAAATATCTTGGTTTATTTCAAACTTATTTAGACTTAAAAAATGCGAAAATCGGATCACGGAGCAGGTAAAAATCTTGTAATTTACAATCAAGACACTAAATAATGTCTGAAGTCATATCTTCTGTAAAATGACACAAAAAACGGAAAAATTCTACACTTCAAATTAAGAATCGTTTCATCGTTTCTGATTCCAAATTATGTCTTAATATTTTGCTTCGTTGAAAAGAAATCAGTTTCAGAAGATAGGTAGTCCTCATTGAAAAAGGCAAAAAAGATGACGTCGTAGTACGTCACGGAGCAGAAGTTAACCATCTGGAAAACTCCAGAAAAAAACTGAAAATGCCAGAGGAAGCAGAAAATATTTAAAAAGCGAGCCATGCATTTGTTCGTACATGGTACAAGCGGAGTTTGAATGATAGATTTCTCTGCTTAGACGATGGTAAAACGGATTATTTGTAAAAAAAAAAAAAAAAAAAAAAAAAAAAAAAAAAAAAAAAAAATTATCAAAAACATGAAGTTAGTAACGTCATGCTAAGAGTTTGCAGATGCTGATCTTGTGAAAGCAGTGAAAAAAAATGTAATATACAAACAAAATGATGCTACTGGAACAATTGTTAGCAAAATAGATTTCAAGAGATCGAGAAACGTTTTAATGAGTGCACTGGTATTGGACAATACTGTTTGAAATGTATAGGAATAGTATTTTTGAGAACCTCATGTCGGTATGTTTTTGAAGTTACAGTATTGTTGAGTTTGCTCCGTGGTTACAAAACATGTTGATTTTAAAATTAAATAACAAGAATTCTATTAAATCTCATAGAATGAAACTTCACACTTATACAAAATTAATATATTTACATATGATAATGTGCTCAATTTAAATTTCTTGAAGATAGTATAACGAAGTTTGGCAGAGTCCACGAACTTTTCGAAAAACCCTCGTACATTTTACTGGCAAAAATGTTCAGATATATCGACGACATATTATTAATTAATAATAGTTACTTCCATTCATATGTCGACTCGATATATTCCAGTGAGCTTGAAATAAGATATCACAGAGTGTGACACATTTGTTTCATATTTGGATATCTACTAGAAAAAGGCATTAATGGTAAACTAACAACCAAGCTTTATGATAAACTTGATGACTTCAATTTTTCAATCGTCAACTTCTCTTATTTATGTAGCAATAAACCCTTATCACCTGCATATGGGGTTTTTGTCTCCCAGCTGATACACAAGAGCATGTTCTACGTATGAACAATTTCTAAAACGAGACAAGCTATTGACAAACAAGTTGATGAAACATGGATATCAACAGTCTCGTTTGAAGTAATCATTTTGCAAGTTTTACAGTCTATCAGTGAACTCGTTAGCAAATATAACCTATCATTAACCCTCTTCCCCGCAGTCACGCATTTTAACGCATATACCATTTCCTATTTCTAACGCAAAATCACGCATATACCGTTTCCCCGCAATCACGAACTTTTCACACACTTTCAAAAGTAAATTTAATCTTCAATTTAATGCTAATTCCCTTCTAATTTATACTTGCTAAAATCTCATAAAATAAGAAAAGTTATAATCTAACTTAAATATTACGTCATAATTATTTACGCTAAACTTTAGAGAAACTCGTACCTCGCTATAAAGTGCTTGCGGGGAAAAGGTAACGTCATATTTCTATGACGTGAACATTAAGTGTTTGTTGCATCACAGTTCAGTAAGTTGTAAAGAGTTAAGTCAAATGCTGACTGACATTTTTCAAACTAATCTATAGGCCATTATTTACACCCTGAATTGTCTGCGGATTTTTCTATTTTTTCCTGATCATGACAAGGACCACACGGCGTGTGTGACCGGTCAGTAGGAGATGCTCACTCCTCCATGGCACCTGATCCCACTCTGTTTGCATTTTATTGTATGTTATATAATATTTCAATACTTATGACAATTTTGAAATATATAAAAATCAGAATTTAAATAAACAACATGAAATATAATCTGATTGTACCTGAATATATTTGGATCATTTATTAGGACAAATTCTGAAAAAAAAAATCAGAATATCAGTGCTAAGTCATTCGTCCTCACCAAATCTCAAAATAGGGTCAATTGAGAACTTTAAGAGAAGAGCTGATTGAGGTATCATTTTCTATCATTTACTAATTGTTAGGCCATTATTTACATACTGAATTGTCGACGGATTCTTCCGTTATTTCCCGATCATGACAAAGAACACACAGCGGGTGTGACCAGTCGGCAGGGGATGCTCACTCCTCAATGGCACATGATCCCACCTCTCATGTCTTAGAGGTCTGTGTTTGCTTTGCTTTTATTTTGTAATGTTTAATGGACTTTTGAGCTAGAGTACTGATCATTATCTCCACATATTTCATTTAAGAACTAACATTATTACAAATTGTAAATATGAACATGATCTTTTTGCCTAATTGTACTAATTGATTTAAACATATTTTTACAAAAATTCAAAATCATTTCTCATTATCAAATGCTATAAATCCGTTACAGTAAAACTGAGTAAAAGGAACAAAAAGACTATTATATAGTTTTATTTTATTCAATCAACACACTATTCAGTATTTTACTGGGAACAACAGCAAAAGTTTGGACCGCAATGAGTAGCAGCACAACTGAAACTTCCATATCTCCAGGTGTTGACCCATAGTGTATTGGGGGTATTCTTGGCGCCACGCTTGGCGTAAATATGCAAGGCATCAATGCATTGAGGTTTTCTGTGCAAAAGATTTTTGAGCATATACAATTTACATATGCTTAAAATTAATGCAACAGGATGTAATTTTGCCTAAGAATGACAACGTACGCATTTAAAAAATTATGAAGTAAACTGATGTTATTTTTATAGAAAATAATGCTTATTCGGAAAACGTATCATCAATTCCTAATGCCATATGAATGTTACCGAGAACGTTTGAAAAACCTTATATAAATCATTTTTTCTTTATTTTTGTTCGATTTTCAATTGATAGTGCTTCTAGAGCTTTATTCCGGATACCACTTAAAACTATATTTAATTGATTCAGCTGTAAAATACTGTTTTATAACATAACCTTCCTGTTTCTAAACACTGTCTAACTTTAACTGATAAAAGTATGTCTATTTCTTTCAAATATCGGTGCCTTTTCTTTACTCACTTGTTAAAGGAATCACCAGCCGCATTCATACCAGAGACCGCTTGACAGATTGCATTGCATGACTCTCCACCGTTACACTTGCGAGGGACTGCCGCAGTGTAAGCCCTCTGTGGACTCAAACCAATACAAGCCGCTGTTGCAAGATCATGATCATCTCCACTAATAAGCAAAATATTTGCTCCAAATACTGAAATTCAATTTTACTTCGTTTATCAAGAGCAAATCATAATAAACATTCTCAAATTTTCGTAGTTTTTTTGGCATTTTAAGAAACTATTCCGTTTTTTTTCGTAATGTGACAAAGAAAGGTTTACAATATGCGACTTCCTTTAAGATTCAAAAGGGGAAAAAACCTGCATACTCGGCAGTAAAAAACAGCTGATTTTTTTTTTTATAAAATGTGTTTGTGTGTGAGAGAGAGAGAGAGAGAGAGTGTGTGTGTGTGTGGAGAGAGAGAGAGAGAGAGAGAGAGAGAGAGAGAGAGAGAGAGAGAGTTTACTTACCCATTGTAAAAATCAGACAACTCAATGACATTGTCATGGCTTTTCGAATTCTCAGTTGGTTTTGCCAGCACAGGAGCTCTCCAAAAGAGGAACATACCTTTTCAACAAAATTTGGTCTTATTTATACAACTGATACATTGATTAATACAACCTTTTCAAAGGCTATGAATTAAAAAAGGCGGAGTTTAACCTAAATTGATACTAATGTCTCATCCCTTTTTGCATGTTTAAAAAAATTGAGTTTATGACTCATCGGTCCACACTTTGAATTTCATCCATTATATTTCATGTACATTGGAAGCCAATGGCAGTTCTATAAAAAGGCTCAAATATGAGCTCTGAGTAATATCAATTACGAAATTTAAAAGAATATACTTGGATACTTAAGAATATGATGCTAGGTTGTTGACTGAATATCGAAAAATATGTCTGAAGGAAGTTTTTAAGTGGTAAAACATATCAGGCTTCGGCGTTCGGTATCGCAATATACCTTCACATAGAGCTTTGTTTTTCTTTGTTTTCTTTGTTTTTAAGTTACGATTACACGTTTTCTCCATCAAAGAATGTATTCTATTATATACAGGAGGATGGAACAAGTTTTTCTTAATTTTGGATATTTAATTTATTAGTGCAACAAGACCATATAATTGTTATCCTGATAGATAGAGTATCTACAAAACATCCAAATATTCATAGCAAGCCTATACTCTGTTCAATGCCATGTCTTTTTACTTACAACATGTAACTTCCTCTGCAATTAAACTTTGTTCAACACAATGTATACTAGGTAGGATAATGAGCTTAAACTGAAAAATTCTAGTTATTATTTTAAGTCATATTTTATACATTAATGATTTAATTTTGTTTGTATTCTAGCCTCTGATTGGTTAATATCCAAAAAGGAACATAAATTATTTCTGTATAACCTGCTTTGGTATGGGAACCCCCCCCCCCGACAACCAGTTGAATCATCTGTATCCATACAATCCTCTCATTTCCAGTCCTCGGAATTCATGGAAAATTCCAGATTTAATAAATGTACCTTTAACTTCAAACAATAAGTCGATCCTGGTTATACTCGAATAATTTGGCCAGGAATTCCTAAACTGATTAATTATGCACTTCATAAATAAAAATAGTTGTATAATCAGTTTTCTTATCTTATTTACCATATTAATAAAGTATGAAAAATATCGTTCATACAGTGTCTGTACAAAGGTTCAATTCTTCATATTTAGGGGGTGAATTTTTTCTGTCTAAAGTTGGAATAAAATCAAGTTTCATCAACAGACAACAAAAGTCTTACTGATGCATACATGAAAGAAATGCAACATAAAATCAATGACGAAAAGTTCTACAGTGTTCATTCTCTTGGATAGGATATTAATTAAATAAATAATTACATTATAAAGCAAACGTGAAGGAATACTGCAAAATATTCGCAGGGTCAAATTTTCGCGATTTGAGAGGAAAAAAAAAAACATGGATCTGTTAGGATTTGATTTCGTGAATGGAAAATCGCACTATTTCTTTTGTTTATAGCATTGTACATTTTGTGATGAACATAATTTTGTGGAACTCAATACATCGTAAATTCAACCTCCTTAAAATAATTGATTTTACATTGTAAAATATACAACATAACTGTGATTGAAGGAGTTGTTTTTCAATGAGGGCAAATCAACACACCATAATCAACGTGAAGAACCAGGGGTTAAAGAATTATTTCTGTCTAAATCTTAAACAAGGTAGAAACTTCAATCTAGTTTCGGAGTTTCATATATACTCTAGATAATTCTACATGTTACAACCGTGAAGGAATAAATACAACAAATATTGAAAATATGGAACAAAATTATGTTAACTTATTATTTAATTATCAGGAAAACACAAAGGTTTATAAATGAAGACATAAAAATAGTGTTTAATAAAAACACTCAAAAATCTTAAGAGGCATGGGGAAAATGCTGTAAAATAACAAATGAAGAAAAATTTGGAGTTCACTTTACATTTTACAACTAGATTGAAACACAAAATTCAAATTCAAGAATTCCAAGAAAAATGTTTGCATGAACTAATTTTTATGTAGAATAGAGTAATTACACCCAAAATTGTATTTGGTTTTCTATAATTTGTTTTCTATTTTTATCATTTTTGTATTAATTTTTTTTTATGTTCAAACTTCATTATGTCTTTCTGTAGCCCAGTAGAAGAAATGAAGTCAATACTTTATTTTTTTGATAAAACAATACATGCAATGTCCAACAACACATTTTATCATTTGATCAAAGTATATGAATCAAATGGGACCTTAAAGCTCGTAATGTAGATAATATCGTATAATAGAAAGATGTGTTGACTCACCTGAGCTAATTGTATTTTATATTTCACCGTTTAAAGGTTAATTGGGGAAGTTAGCGGAATGGAAAAAAATGACTGGGTGTTCTCCTATTTGAAACACAATCTAGCTATAATTTGTGCATGCACTTCCCTGTATTAACAGATGTCAATATGAACGGCTGGATTCGAGGCCTATTAGCAGCATGTTTTGGAATATTTAATTATACAACAAATAAACAGACTGAAAAGCATTTGTCGTAATGTTTATCCTATTTGAAACATTTTACATATAATTTGTGAATGTTCTTCCCTGTATTTCCAAATGTCTACAGGAACAGCTGGTGTCGAAGCCATTTAGCAGTATGTTTTGGAATATTTAATGATATAACAAACATGATAAATGTACAATGCTTATTTTAAAGAATGTCATTTAGTAAAATAATTAGTATTACAGAAAACATAAATAAAAAAAGAAACAAAAAAAAAAAAAAAAAAAAAACAATAACACAAAAAAAGATGGCACATATATGGGAAATAAAATAAGATTATACAAGCTACAAAAACACCCCCTCCCCCCCCCCCCAAAAAAAAATAAAAAATAAAAAATAAGATAAATGGATTTGTAAGAAATTTTAGAAGACAAACATTATTGGGCTTTTTGTTTTAGTTTTCCTCTGTTTTTAAATTGACAATTTAAGTTTTATGAGGGATATTAGGAATATGTGTTCTGGGATATAACTGTATTGCCCAAATTGAATCTTAACTGATAGTTAATCTAAATTAACAAGCTTCCTGCTCTTGAAGAAAATCTCAATAGAATAATCATAAACAAGTGTGTCCTAAAACAAGAAAACAGTTAAACCGTGCACTGATCAACAAAGTATATATATTCGGAATGTTCTCAGATCTAAAAAAAAAAAAAAAAAAAAAAAAAAAAAAAAAAAAAAAAAAAAAAAAAAAATGAAACTGAAATATTAATGAAAGGAACGTACGTGCTGCTTGCTTTAAACAGCTATAACAGCTCGCAGCAAGGTTGAGGACTCCCATACTTACATCAGTTTATGCAGGGCTTCGTGAAAACGATTATGGCGTCAAGTTAAAACTATGCAATTGAATCTAGGCGAATAAATAGTATTGTTCTTTCTCATACACACTCAGATTCAGTCTTTTCTCATAAATAATGTAAACGTAAATCGATGTGTAACTTATCTTGCCATAATAACACTATTTGAATGTAGAATTAATGTCACCTAGATCTCGCTCCACTGACTGAGATGACATCACTGACTAGTTTGACTAATTTCTGTGTACCTGAGTCGAGTATCAAGCTATTATTTTAGCTTGTAAATATGAAAATTAAAATAAACCAAGCTTATTAATCAATATTTTATAGTCATATGAAATTGAAAATGTTAAGACCTCCATTAAAGCCGTAGTAAAGCACATTTATGACAGGCACATCCCTTCGAAAATCTCAAAAGTTCAAATTAAAGATATCCCCTTCGCTATGAATTATGAGTTTTAAACATTTGTAGCTATTGTACCTACCATTTTGAAAAAGCGCTGGAAGCTTGTTCTGCGCTGTTGCCTTTTCCGTGATTTATCATTATTTCAATGCAAGTTTCAAGTATATCTCCTTAAGCCAACTGTCTCATCAGATGAACAAATACATGCAATTAAGAAAAAAAACATACAGAGAGAGTGAACGTAAAAACATATACAGGAAAATAGTGTTACAGTTATATATCGATATTGTTTTGTCTTAACAAAGGGGCAGCATTCAAATATTTGCCCAAATTTAAAATAACTTATTAATATTATTACATGTAGTATTTAACAGATGAATTATTGTGTCAATGTAGGAATTTTATCGAAAGACGGCTACATTTTACATGATTCCCGGGCATAAGGAAATTGCTCCAAACGTTTTTCATGTTAAGGAATTTGTCTCAAAGAAAACACAATCAATTACATAGCCAAAAGATATCCGTATATCGTTGTACTTTTACAATCTTTGTAGCCGTACATATTTTTTTTTCTCTCTAATTTTAAGGATGTCATATGGCAAAAAGCTGATGTAAGTGAAGTCGCATTGGCCGAACTCAGAAGAGACACGATATATGCATCTAGTAGAATTCCCATTCATCAAAACTCATGCTGTTTAAAGAATATCAACTCCATACTCATTTTTTCTCGGAATATTTGAAGGTTTATTTCTAATGGGCGTCCTTAACCTAGCTGCGGGTCGATCGCTTACATTCGCCCTGTTCGCTCTGTATTGATCTATCTAAAATTTGTTACGAAATATGTCAGTCAAAAAAACGACAATTTGGCATGTTGTTTTTGTAAAAATGACAAAATAACGACCATAGAATTTGCTATTTTCGTATATTAAACGAGACTGTTTTGATCAATGTAAACTCTAACAAAAAGTACTACAGTAAGCTGTAGTTTACTATAGTTAACTATAGTAAATCAGTGTCATATTTATCACTATAGTTAATGAACGTTTTCAAAGTGATCTCTAAAGTGTCATAGTTATCACTATAGTAAATCAAAGTTTTCAAAGTTATCACTATAGTAAATCAAAGTTTTCACAATAGTAAATCAGAGTTTTCATAGATATCACTATAGTATTTCAAAGTTTTCAAGTGATCACAATAGTGGATCGAAGTGTAAATGTTATCACTATAGATGACCATAGATTTCATCGTGTCAAAGTCATCACTATAGTTAAAAATAGTTAAATATAGTAAACTATAAGTTAACTATAGTTTTTTTTGTTAGGCAAATTAAAATATTTTTTGTAGCGTGCATTGATCGTACACAGAAAATGTTCCTGTGTGGTGAATCAGCGGATCTGTTTAAGACGTAGACACAATATGTATGCGGTAACGGAATATTGCTCCAGCATTATATATATTGGAAGCTTACGATACAAATGTTTAATTTAACACATCCCGTTTATCATAGTGTTTATTTGTTAGTTGGACATTGATATCTAAGCTCGATAAAACATCCAGATATGAAGATACGTGACCGAATCTGTAGTGCCGTTTATCACTTAAATACACTGAAATTATCTAACCGACCTATAGATGATATATATATATATATATATATATATATATATATATATATATATATATATATATATATATATATATATATATATATATATATATATATATATATATATATATATCTATCTATCTATCTATCTATCTATCTATCTTTGAGGACACATCGTCGATATGTTTGAATATTTATGTAACGTATGTCTTTTCTTCTCATTTAATACAATATTTGAATAAATTCTGCCTCCCAAAAAAAGTGCACGTTATCAAAACTGTTTTTGTAAAATATAAGAAACATGAATGTGTTTTCTTTTAAGTCTTAAAATACTTGAGCAAAAATTCGAAGTGAGTTTTATAACTACATTTTCTGAAATTTATGAATACATCAATGAACGTTATAGTTGCATAAATTTTGTAAAATTTTACAAAATAAAAAAAAATAGAAAGAAAGAAAATGACCCTCCCTCAAGACAAAAATTGAACAAGATATTGTTATTGCTGCGTTCATTGTACGTGAAATATATGAAGATACAGATTTCAAGCTCAAGTCCATTCAAACAATACAAATCACGAGCAGAACAAACACAGATCTCCAAAACATCAGAGGTGAGATCAAGTGCCATGGACGAGTGAACATCCCCTGCCGACCAGGCACACCCGCGGTGTGCACCTTGTTATGATCAGAAATAAAAAAAACGTTAACAATTCAGTCTGTAAATAATGGACTAACAATTGGTATGAAAAGCGTCAGTCAGCATTTGACTCATGATTTGTTGTAATTGCTGACAAGGTCATTGTATCGACAAAAAAAACTTGCAAAATGATGACTTCAAACGAGACTGTTAATATCCTTGTTTCGTCAACTTGTTTGTCAAAAGCTTGCTTCGTTTTAGAAATTGTTTATACGTAGAGCATGCTCTCGCATATCAAATCAACTGAGAGACATTAACCCCATATGCAGGTGATAAGGGTATATTGCTATATAGGTAAGGGAAGTAGACGATTGAAAAATTGAAGTCGTCACATTTATCATAAAGCTTGGTTGTTAGGTTACCATTAACGTCTTTTTTCTTTTACAATATCCGACTAAGAAACAGATGTGACACACTCTGCGGTATCTTTTATTTCAAGCTCACTGGGAAAAATCGAATAGACATATGAATGGAAGTAGCTATTGTTATTTGATAACACGTCGTCGATATATCTGATGGTCCAGTTGAAGGCCACAGCAAGTGTTAAACTGCCTCATATGAATACATAAATAGCTGTGCTAACAACTGGGTGCAATTAGTACTTATTGGAATTCCAACAGATTGTTGGAAGACCTGTACATCAAAAGACGTACATAATATTCTTGACAAAAATGCCCTTGGTAAGAATGGAACAAAGAGCTTTTTCCTCGAGGACTTGCAAGTAATTTATTTAAATGAAAGAGGTATACAGAAGTTAATGTAAATGGTGAAAATAACGAACATTGATCTAACTTATAATTCCATTAAACGATGCATATTATAAACAGGGCAAGATCGTACCCCTGGAATCACAAGAGGCAGGGCCATGTACCCAGGATGAGTGAGCATCCCTGTCGACGGATCACATCGACATGAGCTCTCCGTATTAATAAGGTAAATTGAGTAAAATTCATTCCATCCTCTTAATGAAGGCATTCTTATTTAAGGAGGAATTCTTACTTGTTGATATTGTCTTCTTGAATCTATGAAAATTTCATTAATTTTTAAATACGACAAATATCAGAAGAATTCGTCTTTGAATGGACTTATGAGGTTGAATAATGTTCGTTATATCATCATTTCCTTTAAAAAAAACTTTTATGAAATTGAATGTTTTCAGCCATAAAGCGTTTTCACATCAAAGTTATCAAGGCACTAAACGAATATTAAAATTCACGATGGACGATGGTTGCTTGCACGTTTATTCTTTCAAGATATAAAAAAGGTTTTGAGTTCACACCAAATTCTACTAAACAGTAATATATTTCTGCGAATATTTTGTCAGAAAACTATGGTTTGTTTAATGGGAGACATCATTGTTTTAATGATAAGTTCAATACTTAGTATCGCAATTTCCCCACAGTTATCTATCTTAATACCGCTCCTTTGCGGCGAAGTCGAGGAAACTCTAAAAATCCCGAGATTTACGAGACATAACTGACAATATTAATTGAATGACTCGAACAATTAGTATACCAAAAGTACGATGTATTGCCAAGGGTGAACTCCAAATAGTAGGTTGACTAATTTGGAATGTTTAGAGTTTTTATATCAGCTTCCGAAAGTAACGATTATCAGAAGGAAATGGTTGAATTTAATTAAAAGAGTCGGCTTAGTGAAAACTATCAATAAAAATATAAAACATGAGGAATACCTTCTCTTTAGTTTTATTAACGTGGTCCAGCGAGTGTTCCGCAAGATATTTCCCCAGGACATCTTCTTATCTGCCCTTTAAAATTCACAATGCTCGATCTTGCGTTGAATGCAACACAGCACATTACCCAGGCTAACAGATGTTTTCTACCTTCACCGCGAAAGATTTCCATTAGTTTTAGTAATCGCGATATCAAGTAATGAATACAGAGATATGGATTGCAAGTCGACAAAAGCTTTACAAAGGAAGTTTAGAAGAGTTGTTATTATTGTCTAATCGTTCAGAGAGTTTAATGAAAAAAAAAATAAAAATAAAAATAAAAAAAAAAACAAAACCATTAATCAAACTGGAGTGATAAGGACCCTTCAAAATACTCAAATTTATGTAAATTTTATATTGGCATTGAAAGAGAGTTTAATTAAAGGTGTCATGGATTTGAATAAACCTTATGTAGCAGTGGCAGGATGGGATGATTGATTAATTAGAAAATATGTCTAATGCTATCAATACTATCTTAGCTAAACAATGCTATCAATAATATATCTACATTTGTAAATAGACGTCAACTTATTTTATAGAGTGCTTTGCATGCAAACATATCTACATGTAGATAATGTATCGGACATTCACAATATAGAACATCAGAGTAAAGCAGGAATAAAATTCAGGTGTAGAAAAAACAACCAGGTAAAATTCAAGTTTCTATTCCATTACCAGTATTTTATGTAGTCAATTCACCTTCTTTATATATAAATGTTTTGAGTATTTCTATGCATGTGTATCCTTAACTATAGTAGTATTTAAAGAAAAAAAGACGTTGGCATGGAAATATAAATTAAATAGAGGAATATTCATCTTCTTTGGACTCATACTTTATACACGAAGATCAAGAAGTTTTGTTAAAATGATGGAAGACAACCTAACGTACTCGATATTTTATTACCAACTTGAAGTTACTGAGAACTAAAAAGATACATGTACATGTAAAAACAAATACCAAAGCAGATTTCTGATTGCGCAAAATTCTGATGAATATAAAAAGCCAATCAATTTCCAGTGTATTAAGTTTCTATTGCCTCTCTCAATTCATTGACGAACTAAATTTAGAGGAGGAACACCCACATTAGAAACGTTCAAAGTGCAAACTAATAACTGTCTAGTGCAAATCATCTTTCTCACATTAGATGATAAAAACTCTTATTAGCAATGAAATACACGTCCACACAAGGGTACATAATATTTGTAAAGCTTAATTGTATTAGATAATTTTTTAAATAATTTCGTATTATTTTACAGATCAAGATTACCTAAATAAGCTAACATCACAAACATGAATCCTCGCACAAGTGCCCAGGACGTGTTACGATGTTCTAATTGTGAGATAGCAAATGTACAGATGTATTGCAACACTTGCTATGTCAACCTATGCAAAACCTGTGTTGGAGAACACATTTCTGCAAAACTTTCTAAATCCCACAATATTATTGATTTTAAGAACAGAAAACCCAAAGTCAATTTTCCTTCATGTAGCTCACATTTAGGTACGCAGTGTGAAATGTTCTGTAATGACTGTGATGTTCCTGTTTGTCTTTTGTGTACTGCGTCAGAAAGTCACAAAGCACATAACCTTACTCTGGTGAAAGATGCTTTCGAGACTAAGAAGAAATCTATTCAGAGAGATCGAGATTAGTTAAATAATGTCATTGTAACAGGCTATGAAGTCATTGCTTCTGATTAACGCAATGGAATGACTCAACTAGAAAAAGAGTATGAAAGTATCAAAGTAGCTATAACAATACATGGAGAAGTCTGGCACAAAGAAATTGACAAACTTGTTTATAAACTTAAAAGTGAAGTACACTTGATGAAAATTAAACATACCAATGCAGTTCAAAAATGCATATCTGAAATTAAAGAAATGCTTCTGAGAGTTTGTGAAACATTAAAAAAGTGTGACTTGTTACTAGCATCTAAAGATATGCAGCTTTGCTTTGAATATAAATCCATGAATAAGGAGTATAGGCACTCTCCTCCCAAACCTAACATACGTTTACCAATTTTCACACCACAGAAAGTTTTGCCAGAAACCCTCTGTCCAGTTTTTGGGAATTTATCAGAATTTTCTATTAACCGAGAAAACCAGGACTGTGGCATGACTTCAGAACAAAAACCACAAGAGGCTGGATCCTTTTCTCTGGCCCATCTGAAATTACCTTTATCTGGATTCTTTAATTTCGGCAAGCAAAATCAATCTGGAGGCAGAAGCTCCCCAACTGATTCACAACTGCTTGACGAAGCAGAAAATGTCTCCACCATTAATACTGGCTATCAAGAACCTTACAATGTTGCCTGCCTGAACAATGATGAAATTTGGATTAGCGGTGACAGTAGCACAATTAAACTGTTTCAAGTCAATCAGAATTTTGACTTAAGAAAGGTCTTCAGTGGCAAGTGGAATCCACTGCTTAAGTCAATCCAAACAAAGACTGGAAAGAGACCCTATGATATAACAGTAACAAAAAGAGGATTTCTAGCATATTCTGACGAGTATGATAGAACGGTTAATATTGTAAACAATGAGAAAATAGAAGAATTAGTGAGACTTTATGATTGGAGACCCCTCCAGATCTGCAGTACCTTGTCTGGCGACCTTCTTGTTATGTTGAAAAGCAACGATAACAAACAAACAAAAATTGCCCGTTATTATGGATCCATACAGAAACAAACGATTCAGTTTCATGAAAACGGCGAACCTCTTTATTCAGCTGGTAGTCATTACAGATACATGACTGAAAACAAGAACATGGACATCTGTGTTGCTGACTGGAGGGCTAGAGTAGTAGTTGTAGTCAATTCCGCCGGAAAGCTCAGATTTAGGTACCGTGGTCACGAACCTGCTCCAAAGAACAAACTATTCGAGCCACGTGGCATTACCACTGATGATCAGAGTCGTATCCTAACAGCAGACAATGACAATCAATGTGTGCACGTTATTGATCAGGATGGACAGTTCCTCCGATTTATTAAATGTGATTTTGACAATCCTAGGGGTTTATGCACAGATTCAAATGACAATTTGTTGTTCAATGTAAAAACAAACAAGTTTTGAAAATTAAATATCAACACTGAATAAAGTAATATGTAGCCTGTAATATAAGCATACACATCTAGATGTTCGCATAAGACAAGCACATAAGTAATTGACTTTGATTGATTTATTGATTGTTTGTTATATTACTTTTAGTTCGAGAATTTTTCACTCATATAGAGACATAACCATATACCGGTGAAAGACTTTAAATTCAGATTTTTACAAGGCACTCAGGATTATTGATCAGTGAGGGATCTTTATTGTGTAAACGGCTGCCATAACACGGGGCCTCGGTTTTTCTTGCCTCATCCGAGAGCCCCGCAACTTTCACTTCAAAGTGCAGGCAAAAGAACAGCTGGTACCTATTTTTATCACCTTGGGGACAGCCAAGGTCAGAGTTAAACACAGGACCTTCCGATTTCCGAACGAGCACTCTACCGACTGAGTTCAACTTTAAAGATTACGAATCATCCAAAGGTATCAAATTGCAACAATCGATATAAATTATAGGTAGTAACAGGTGAGAATTGCTGGAGAATCGTGTTTGTTCTTATATTAATTGATATACAGATCTTATTATTTAATCAATGTTTTGCTCTTCCGATGGAATTGCTTTGAATCATGGAATGTTGTGATCGGAAAACTGCATTATTTATATACATGTACATGTATGAACATTTTTCATTATTATTGAAACTTAAATCATTTGCTTTTTTCCCATTAGATGTTTTCAATTTTTATATGTTAAAAGTGTTAAAAAAAATTCTGAAAGCTAGTGACCATGAACATTTATGGATAACTGTTAAACGAAGGTATCTTGAGAAAAATGCAACTCCAGTTATGTAGTATTCGTTTGAAATCAGGAAAGAATTATCTAATTAACTATGAAGATTATTTACAAATAAAAATAACGAATTACATAAGCTCATTTATATTTTTTTCTCTGTCTATCTGGATCGACATTTATTCACGATCCCAAGAGCAAAACGGAACTTACAAAAATAAACTTTTGCATGATTCGCTACTTTCCTAAGCTTAATTTCTGCCAAATAGACACAGGTGGATCAGGTCTCTAAGATGGTTAAGATGATAACACCCACAGTAAGGTCTCCGTATTAGTCAAGTAATTGAGCAGTCTGTAGTCAAAATTAAGATCAAACAATGGCCTAACGCGTCCGTCAAATTTTCGCTCAAGTAAAGGTGGTTTTTGCAAACATTGCAGTGACTAGCCGCAGAACTGTAGCGCTATGGTTTTATATTTTAGTCCTTGGCCATAACGCTACAGATCCCCTGATGCAAATATTGTGCAATTTACGGCGCAAGATTTTTGGCACACGGTTGGGAAGATTTTCTTCACTTTCCAGCATTGGCCATTAAACTACCTTTCACTCCTTAATTTTAGACATATTTTTTGACCAACCTGTATATTTTATCAACCTCCTAACCCTTTATAGTTGCCTCTACAGACCAGTAAACTTGCTTGTTTTGAATTTTTGTCGGATGACAGAAAATTCAAAACAAGCGAATTTATTGGTCTGTAAAGACGATTGTAAAGGGTTAGGAGTTAAAAACATATACAAATTGGTTCAAATATTTGGTTAAATTTATTTCACAAAATTTAGAAAATTTGACCGATATCAGACACCAGTGGGTATGTGTAAAACACGAAACGAGAAACAAGAAACAAGAAACGCGAAACGAGAAACAATGGAATGTCAGATTCAGCATAAAGCACCTAATGACCTTAAAATGTCAACAAAGGGGGGCAGCTTGTGCTTTTAATTTCGTTTTGTTAGATAACAGATGCAGAGTGAAATGAAATATCTAACTTAGGTCAGGTTTATCATCGACCCGCACAACTACCTCACACACACAAAAAAAAATAATAAAATGTTGACAGATTTAATTTAATACAATACTATTACCTGAAAGAAATGCTTACTCAGGTTTTGCTGAGAATAATAATGGTATCATCAAATGATACAATTTCATTGATAAACTAATTTGATGTATTTCCGTTATGATACTATATATAATGGTCCAAATTTCTACATCAGAACTCTACCTATACCTCTGTCAAAAAGAATCAACTGTTACTGATCATTAGCTTTTTCCTACCACAATGATTTAGTAGTTCTGGTAATACATGTATTATTGGTGAAATTTATTGTCAATGTTAATATAATAGTTTTCTTTACTTCATATATAACAAAAATATAAATATATTATTTATAAATAATTATTTATAAATATATTATTTACCATTTTGTTTAGGATTTTGTTCAACATTTTGTTGATTATGTAAAATGCAGAAAAACAATTTGAAGGAATCTGTCTCTTACCAATTGTGTACTTTTCAGCTGTTGATATTTAATTAAATCTGTCATGTCTTTATGGGTTAGCAGTGCCAGATCACTGATAAATCTGTCCTAAGTTATATGTTTTAATTTCACTCAGCACTTGTTTTCTAACAAAATGAAATCAAGGCAAAAGCTGCCCCTTGGTTGACATTTTTAGGTCATTGTTTTTTTTTTATGCTATTGTTTCTCGTTTCTCATTTCTCGTTTCTTGTTTCTCGTTTCGTGTTTTACACATACCCGACACCAGTGTTACATTGTTTATAAACATTCCGGTTTTCTAAGCTGATTAAAGTAGTTAGACGCTTATCTTTTTTAAAGACTGTAAAAACGATGAATTTCAACCATAATATAAAAACACTGCTTGTTCTTTTACGTTTGTAATATCAGTTTAAATTCATTTATAAATAATCTTTGTTTTTTTTTATCACGTCGAGAACATGTTGACTTGATCATTCGCAGCTATATAAATAAGCGGAGGAAAAAATGAGTTTTATTTGGCACCGTGTAATTCATGGACTAGAGGCATTTAGTGGAGTTATTGAATAAAGTTTAGAGTCAAATTTTGGAGTCTACGATTTTTTAGAGTTCGATTTTTGTTATAAAGCACCAGCTTGTGCAATGTTTAACATAATTCTTGTTGTTAAGTTTAGGAAACCTTGTTAAATCGCCTTAAAATCTGCAAAAAAAAAAAAAAAAAAAAAAAAAAAAAAAAAAAAAAAAAAACAAAACAAAACAAAACAAAAAAAAAAAAAAAAAAAAAAAAGAGACAAATTATGTTTCTTGATGTCATTCCTGCCCCTTTGATACTCCGTAATCCATTTCAAGTCATTTTTCTGCTCCTTTGGCCTTGGATTTTCCTATTGTTAAAGCAAATATATTCTTTATTGCAATACCCCCCAAAATGAGAGCTACTGAATATATGAGCTATACATTGAACAATCTTGGTATAAATATTATCAAATTTAATTTGTCTTATAGAATTATAGAATTAAGATACAAAATTCATCAGGTGACAACATCTGGAGTTTTAATTTATCCCATATTGCCATTGGAAGTGATGCGTGTGTTCTTGGAACAGTGTAGATGAACATTTTCCTTTATATTTCTGTAATTATAAAAAAATATTATGAATTAGCGGTGTGCATCTTTTTTTTTTTTTAATCTAAATTTGAATTATTTTTAAACATCAATTTTGATGATGATATCCTTCATCTTAATTACTGATCAAATCATTTGTAACATCAACTAGAGCTTACATCCATGTAATCCACATTAGAATAAGACTGGTGATTTTTCCCTCCATATAATTTACATAAGATTTGCAGTCATCAGCTTAGTATCTTAAAATGCAACTTAAAAAAAGATTATCTTTAATTCACATTCATTTACTTTAATAATATTGTGATACTGTGAAATGAATAAAATACATTCATTTGATGATTCACAATTTTGTCAATTTAGAAGTTAATAGGAAGGAATGCTCTGTGATACTAGTTAGGGGATGATAATACATGTATTTATATAAACTCCTCAAGAATGCTATGATTATGATACATGCATGCTGTTCTCTGGAGAATTAAGTTATTTCAACACTAGATCACATACACGAAAACTAAATGGTCATCGCTTACAGTTTATTCAACATCTCTGAAACTGGGTGTGAGGATGATTCTGGCTTTTCTCTACGAGCATCTTACAGAGCTTTCACTATCAATTAGACTTTAGTCATTCGAACTCACGACCTTCCGAACACGGAGGGAGCGCTCTAAAGACTGAGCTACCGTGAAGGGTGTCTAATAAAGATAAACTGGAGTAAAAACAATGAACACATAGCTTTCACTTGAAATGTGATGTGACCCATGGCTGATTTGTTGTTTCTAAGGGTGAGGGAGCGACAACTCAAAGAAAATGAAGAGAGATTAGTATGGTAATTGCTAGTGTATGTCGCTTTTATTGCAAGGAAGTGAGAAAGTGAGTGGATGTTTAGTACACCATATAATAGTGGTCTAAAGTGCTTATCTTATTTTAAAACTAACTATCTTTATATATATATATATATATATATATATATATATATATATATATATATATATATATATATATATATATATATATATATATATATATATATATATATATAATTTTAATTTTACATGAAAGGTTTTAATGAATAGGCGAGTTTGATATTGAAAAGCTGTGTTCTTTGTAAATTGCTTTAAACCTACTAGCTCTTGACAGGTTTGTAAACTTGTCCAACTAAACTGTATTTTAAATAAAACAGTTAGACCGACTGTATCTATTGATTAATGTTTAACAGTTTTCATTTTCAAAAAAAAAAAAAAAAAAAAAACAAAAACAAAACAAAACAAAAAAAAAAAAAAAAAAAAAAAAAAAAAAAAAAAAACAGGGGTTATCTTTTCAATATTATGTCTATCAATTCAATACTGATGTAATTTTCTCAAGTTACAAATACTTACATAAGTTTCAGAAACATACAAATTTTAATTAGGCCACAGTACCTATGAATTGTAAATCTGTTTAAAGACATGAACAGCCAACAATCCTACAAAAAAGAATGAAAGACTTTCATACTAATGCAATTTAATGAACATCTTTTTCCATTCATAATTTAAAAAAAAATAGGCTCCAAAATTTGACTCCAAACTCAACTCTATAACTCCACTCCATGCCTCCTGTCCATGAATTACACGGTGTCGTTTTATTTATAGATCAAACATGTCGATAACTTTAAAAGCATGGGAAAACTGAAACTATTTTTACTCTAACAGCTTTGGAATACAGGCAGAAATAATGAAAGGTATTTAACAAGCCTATTTAATATAATTTTATTTCTCTTACTATTCCATATAATTGAGTGTTTAAATTAGCAATAATAATTTTTTTTTTCGATTAAGAGACGGAGCATCTGAGAGATGAATACATCAGACTTCGAGACCAAGTTATCTGTAAGATATGCCTGGACAATACGGTGTTATCTGTATTCCTCCCGTGCGGCCATTTTGTGTGCTGTTCTGACTGCGCTCCAGCACTCCGGAATTGTCCAGTGTGTCACTTCACAGTGAAAGGATGTGTGAAAGCAAAACTGAAATAGACGATACAGCAAATTAACAAACATTGAAGCGTCTATTTCCAAATGCACAAAATATTTTATTAACAGATTACAATGTTTATTTACACTTGCATCTAACCTGATATAATCGATGTTATGCTACTTTATGCCTATTTTTTGGTTTATGAGAAATAAAAAAAAATACATTTCCTATTTCTTTTTGTTTATGAATTAACTAGAGTTTGTCACAACATGACGTTTTTGAAACCATGGAAGCAAAAATTCCTAAAGGAGGACACAAAGAATAAATAGATGAATAAATATATCAATAAATAAAACAAGAGAAAAACTGTATTATAAAAATTGTTATTTTCATTCCTTTGTGAACTGTAGGGACAAAATGTTGATAACAAGTTAAAAACACTCTCTATTAAAATTCCATCAACGTTATCTTCTGTTTAAGATAAGCATTTATAGTTTCCTAGGTGTCTAGTAAAAGTTTTTCATGAAAAAAGTTTAAGATAGTTTAAATTTGCAGTTATTTTTTATATTACAATATACATAAAAAAAAATGAAGAATGATACATTGTTATAGCTTGTTGCATGTTATCAATTAAATATATCATATTCCTTTTTAAAAGAATATAAATATTCATATCTAGTTAAATTTGTTTTAAAAAAATTTAAAATTTACTAAAATATGAGTTGAATATATGAATGCCTAAGGGAAAGCCGTTTTGGAAAAAAGAAGTCATTAATTTGTTCAAAACAGAAAAGCCTCAAAATTATTCATTTCAGGTATTTTTTTTTCCTGAAGAAAATAGTGTCAACAGCAATGGTCCACTTCAATTTTCGGATATATTTTGTCAAAATCTTTGAAAAAAACTTTTCTTTGCATCTTTGTTGGCGAAACATGTGGTCTATATTGACAGAAGGAAATTCCACTGAAACTGATGTACTCTGTAACATGTGTAATTTTTAAGGAAATTACGGGAAATGTATATATTCATGACGTCCGAATTGGCGTTTAGGAGGTCATATGAGAACTAAAAACTTGCATGACTTTTCTGCATGAAAGTAAATCAATTCAAAAATTCAAGAAGAATGAGTTTTAATTTCTCATAAACATTTTCATATTTTAGAGATTTGTCTTGCACCATACTTTTGTCACTCTTTGAACTAAAATAAGAAATAATAGGAAAAAGAATATTTTAATTATCGTGTTCCACAAATATGACATCGTATTTTTAAATGGTTCTATTTGTGTAACGGAAAAATTTTTAAAGTTATAAAAATTGAATACTTAACATAAAGGATGCATTCATGAATATGATTTTTTTTTTAATCCGAAAGTGATGACTTAAGCATGAAATAATGCCACAAGCATTTCCTTTTTTATGTGAAATTTATACAACAATCTTTGATTAAAGTTTTTTTTTTATTTAGTCTCTTTGTATTTGTGATAGATCAAAACGATAATTCATAAGGTCAAATAGAAGCCTCACGATAAAAGATTTTGTATATAATGAATTTCAAAACCTATAAAATACGATATAATTTTTATAAGATTGATTGATTTATTCAGTGATTGATTGTATGTTGTTTAACGCCCTCTTTGAGAATTTATCACTCGTATAGAGACGTCGTAATATCCCGGCGAAATGCTTCAAATTTTGACCTTTATTCGGCACTCAGGGCCATTGATCAATGGCGGATCTTTATCGTGCCAACACCTGCCGTGACACGGGGCCTCGGTTTTTAAGTTCTCGTCCAAAAGACCCGCAACTTTCAATTCAATGTGCCGAGTGCTTGGCTAAGGAACAGTTGCTACCTATTTTTTATCGACTTAGGTCAGTCACAGCCGGGGTTCGAACCCACGACCTTCCGATCACGGAGAAAGCGTTCTACCGACTATGCTATTGTAACGTTGGTACAATTTTTTATGGCATACTTGGATGATCTTTGGAAATAATGGATACTCTCTCTAATACCTGGGTTAAAATTGATTGTTTCAATCTGTATTCATCCACTAAATATTGGTTGGAATTTTTATAAGATGAAAAATTGTAGGGAAAAAATATGCCCATCACTTCAGAGATTTACGCTTGTTAACTTTTTTCTTTAGTTTCACTCCTACATGGCTGAAAAGGAGGATAATACTGATTGTAAAAATGGACAGGAGAAAGTTATATCTCGCAAACGTGTACTTTCCGACTCTGAGAACACAGTTTCTGAGAGCGTTGGGGTATGTCGGCATGCATCTTTCTGCTTTCATTATTTCTTTGGTTTCAAACGTTTTGCCTATGAAAACTTGTACAAAATCTCATATAAAAAAATAAATAAGTAAATTATCACTGAGTGTCACAATATTGTAATATGCAAAAAAAAGCTAAATATCTTCTTAACAGAATTTATCACAACATGACGCGAGTAGCGTAGATGGAAATCTATTAAAAGGGGAAGCTGCACAAACAATTTTGATGATGGGATATCTTCCGGGCATCATTCACCAAGCAATGAACCGCATATTAGGTAATATGGATGAAATGCTTTAATCTGCTTATTTTGGTAAGAAGTATTCCAGGCCCTTGATCCAACTGCAAGTAGATATTTCTTCAAAATTGTACATATGCAATGCGAAAAACAAGATTGAATCTCATCAATAGATTCCAAATGTGATTTTATTATTTCTGAATGAAATGAATGAGTAAAGTTCAAGCTCTAAGAAAATAAGCTTAATACCAAACTTTAAGATATTCTGTTATAAATCAAGGCATTAAGGCTATGGAAATAAAACATATTCCTCATTTTATCAATCTCTTACATTTTTAAAATAAGACATGTTATGAATTGAATGTCCATTATGAACAAATAAAGAGTACATATTTTGAACATTTTAGAACGTCAAAGTTGTGAGATAAGTCCACAATCCATCTTAGACGAAATTGAGAAATTAAAACAGGACGGCAATGCACCAGACATTAAAGTTAAAAAGCCAAAGAATACAGATAACATGAAGAATCAGGCGGTTCCACAAGGTAATTCTTTTAATGAAAACCACCGAACAATAGTTACTACTTATCATGCATCTAAATGGTGAATGACATGTACGGTATTTCATTTTAAAGATCTTTTTTTAAAAGTTAAGATACTAAGAGAATTTTTTTTGGCAAAAACTGTTTTGAAAATAAGCCATTTACCTATACTACATGTAATTACATCAAGTATGGAATGTATCTTATAACCTAATTATTTTTCAAATACCCTTCTTATCTAGATTGTCTTATATTTTTGTTTCCTATTATCTGTATTTGAGAAAGGAAAAAGTTTTTTTTTCTTTTTATATTTTATAATCACTTTACCTCTAAAATGAAATTCAAAAAGTTGTTCCTCATTGAAATATCTTGTACAATATTTCATAAACATTCCAATTTTTTCGACCAATATTTGCTACATTATGAAGACATTATGTCAAGTTCTTTGAAAGTTGATAGAAAATTAATTTTGTAGTACGGTCCTAGCTTAGTAGAAGACATAAGAAGAATGAAAGACCTTATTGACAAATTATGTAATTTCAGATAATTTCCATTGTATTGATTTGTTCTATAAGGAAATAATCATCTAAATTACCCGCATTAGTTGAGCTTGAACATTGAATTAATAAATAAATAGTTCAACTACAAATTCCGACTATATCGTAAGTTGTCTGCCCTTGATAAAGGAAAAAACAACAAATTGAACAAGAAAATGTAAAAGCAGCTACCATAGAAAAAAGCATTAAAATCTCCTTGAACAAAAATTGATACCGTAGACGCAAAAAGGGATTCTTTGAATTATATTTCGTGCAATGTAGACACTTTTAATTTAAAAGTATTTATAATATTTATAATATTTATAATATATTTTACCAGTCTTTAACAAATATCCTTTGCATCAGGTTCTTACATATGCATTCATATTGTAAACTTACCGAATGAATAATTCATTGTCATTATAATTTTTATAGCTAATGATGAGTGTCGTCTTTAATTTAATACCATTGTAATTTTAGCCTTTAAACTATAATCATTATGGTGACAAAATCTGAATTATATGCTTTAACACATAAGTGAATGAGATAAGAACATCATTCAGTAATGTGGTTTGAAGCCATCAACCTTTCGCAAATTCTATGGTCGATACAATGATACTGTAAGCATATAGCATATCGATAAGTCAAATCTGTATTGATTGCTTCATACAAATTGTTAGGCCATTATTTTAGAAACAAGGTCAGGTCAAGGTCATTATCTTTTTCCTTGACATTTAGAGTAAAAAATTACTGTTGCTAATCATGTGATGAATACTTCAATTTCAAAAGATAAAATGTTTTTCTTTTTGCACGAAAAGATGTTACCCTATCGGGTCTATCAGATGATTCTACCAGATTAATTGACATTATTTAACTTAAGTAGATATTGCCTAATCCGGATTTCCTCTGTTTTTCTTAATTTTTTAGGATATATTAGTTATTTTTATATACTTCTTATATTTAAATATTTCTTATTTTTACATATGGTAAAGTAGTCATATAAATATACAAAATGATACAAAAACAAAAAGCTTTGACCGTTTAGTAAGAGAGAAAAAACATTTTTTACTGATGTTTTTGCTCAAATGTGTTTTAAGGTTGGAGGCTTTCAAAAGCTAACAAGGTTGTAGTTTGTTTAGAAAATCATTTTCATTTGCTATGTTTTAAAAATTTAGGGCATTATTTATAATTTTAGTTACATATCAAAATTTCTTCAAGTCATTGATTGTTTAAAAAAAAAATAACCACATGTAATGTTTTGTAAGTGATTCTGATAGGCAGAAATGGAGATATTTTCATACGCCGCAGTTGCGCCAAAAGATAGTCCCTTATGGATTTCAAACTCAGTTTACCATTTCTATTTAAAATTGTACAATTATGATGAGTAAAGAAAAATATGATCTTTTAAATACAATACAGCTAAGTTTATAAGACATACAAGCAAATATACTTGGAATATTTTGTCTAGTCAGAAACCAGACAAGAATCCCTCCTTAAATACTATTTCTTCCATAAATGCTTGTCATTATTCTGTTAAAATTCAGTTTACATGTAACTTAGGTCTCTTTAATTGAACACGGGTATCTCGAATATACCATGGGTTTGTCAAAGTGTTTTCAGTTTAAACCCTTTATTTTTTTCATTGTCTTACCCTTGTTATCACAAATCCCTGGATATTTCGAAGTTTTTTCTAGGTCCAATTGAGTTTGAGTTAATGAGGTTTGACTGTAGTTGTTCTTCAGACAAGATTTTCTGAACCAGGGTCCTTTGTCAGATTGACATTTCTAGGCAATCATTGCTTAAATATGGCTTAAAAACTGCCAGAATAATCATAAACATCAAGAGACGTCATTTTAGGGGTAACGGTGGGTATGACCGGTCGACAGGAACTTAATCTGTCATCTGGAATTCCCATAGGCCCGTGTATTATAGCCTGTTCACCTACTTGTATTGTTTTATAATGTTTGAGATATATCACTGTTCGTTATCTTTACCTTTTTCATTTGTGACAATGACAGAAACGACACCAATGTTTATAAGAAATACAATATTTTTTATTTGGTTATATATTTGATGAATAATTACCGACAGACCATCTTTATTCATTATAATGATTGTTTCGTTACATGTTCTTCATTTTCATGGGAGCGTAATCACAAATACATGTTGAAATTATAAAGTTGTAAAGTACATAAGTGATCCTTGTCGGAGGCTTACGTTTTAAAAACATAACTATAATTGATTTGTGAATTTGACAACAACATTTTCGAAAACGGAAGTTGTTAATCAAAATCTTCTCTTCAGATATGGAAGAATTACGAAGGCAAAACCTTCAGATGCACCAGATGTTGTTGTGTAAAGCGTGTAAAATGGTGGATATCAGCCATGTTCTACTAAGCTGTGGTCACTTGATATGTGAGGCATGCCTTCAGAAGTTGGAGGAATGTTGGTATTGTAAATCTGCTATAAGAGGGGTACAGAAAGTGCGATTTGCATCAGATAGGGATTAGAAATGAAGAAATTGAAAGTGATATGGTCCTTTACATTGCCTCAATTTCAATTTAGAAAATTGTATTCATGTTTTTTTACTGCTTGGCCAAAATTATAAATATTCCGAAAAGTGTCTTGAAACTTTTATATCGCATTCGTCGTTTACGTTGAGCGTGGAAATGGTCGAGGCTTTTCGAAAATAAATATTTTTATTTTATTTTTTTACTATGCTCGTGTAAAGAATATATTTTTACATGCATCGCGCAATCATTATTTGAAACCATTCTTGAGGAACCCCCAGAACATTTTATGAATCCCAAATTAATGGACCATGTCACTTTTATTTAGGCTATGAAATGTTTAAATTCAAAGGCGTAAGTGAAAAAATCGGATTGAATAGTTAAAAGTTAACTAGATTTAATTAATTCTTTTACATATATTTATCATCATATTTTCTTTTGTTTTATGCAATGTGTATTTTGACAGCTTAATGTATGTTACAATAAAAAGCTCAAATTATTTTCAATATGTTTTCGATAAAATTGTGAGAAACAGGGATGTGGTCGTTGATAAATTTGTGTTTACATAATGCATTTATCTATAGTCCAGGCAAGTAATACATTATAATAGTTAAAGTTGAAATTAAGTATTTATGACGAAAGATGAAACTTTCTTAACATTTTGAGATGTTTTAGAATAAAAGTTGAAGATAAAGCAGAGGAGAACATTAAAGACAGGGGATATTTTTTAACCCAATTAAGGATGCACAACACAAACCAACAAAATATGTATAGATTGATACATATTTCCCGACTAATTAAGAAGAAATTGATATATGATATGTAAAGTAAATGGGTGAAGTGGTGCTTTTCTTCAATATATATATGAATAATCATTGTCACAAATGATTTTATTACCTTGGTGGATAAGATTTTGTTCAGTTATTTAACCTATATTAATAATACCTTGGCTTCCTGAAGAATGGCCCTTTAACGGCATAATATTTACATCTTCTTCCTATCACACATATAGTGATGTTTTCTGTTAAAAACAGCAGGACTGCTGTATTAAACAGTCTTTTTATATTCCTATGCTGTTGAAATAACAATGTTATTTCACATGAAACCATCAAAGGTTTCCTTAAGCCACCCGTACTTTATAATGCTATATACGGATGTATAAGCTCGTAAGTTCGTTTAGATTTGACGAGTGCTTCATTACTATTTGTCCAAACCGTACAGTGCAGCTTTGTAAAGGCAGGTTCTGAAATATTAAGGAGGATTGCGATGGAATATGACATGTCATTTTCTTAACAGGGCCGTGATGATACAGTTCATTCAGGTATTTAAGAGTGTCGCCACATTCTATATTAAAAATTCTACGAGTATTAAGATATACATTACAATGCAAATAGATTATCGCCAATCAATTGACTCTTAGAGTTTTTGTTTAGGAACCCAAGTATCAGAAATACATGTATGTCCAAAAAGCTTCAATGAAGTAAAAAATGAGAAATTACACTGCTTCGTCCTGTGTTATAAGAACATTTTTTAAAACAACAAATATTATCCATTTATGAAGACCTAAAGTACCAAAGGATTTTTTTTATTCTATGTAAAAAAAGTATTTGTCAATATGAAAATGTAGTTTGTTTTGCTAAATGATAAAAGTAGTTCCTGAAAAATGTTTGAAAAAAAAGGATTATAAAAGACGCCACACTGAAGACAAATTCGGGTAAATTATGATGATTATGAGTTCAAGAAAACACAAATAAATGTTTTCAGTTTTTCATAGTTTTTATTGTTATTAATGCCTGAAAAGAAATCAGAAAAGACAATGAATATAATAAAAGTATTGATCAGATTATATTAAAGAAAATGGAATTTGAGCACATATCATTTTCAAATATTCCCTGTCTTATAAATGTTCTAAAACGTATATGTAAAATGTTTAAATTAACGAAGAATTATTACAAAATTCACAAAGGGATTAACTTTGTTTATATCTACAGGCTTCAGAAAGCATTAAAAGAGATTTACTCAAATTTTAGATTCATTTCTTTATTGTATGTTTCAAAACAGCTATGTTCCAACACTGAATAAAAATGCACTTTCCCCAATTTATTCGATAATACAAATTATGAAATTAGTCACGTTTTACAAAAGCACAACTGAAAACTTCAAAATTATCTTCTTTCACGTCCCTGTTTATTTTTTTTACATATCTTGTAATAACTGTACCTATTTTTTTTTTAAATTTTCTCTATTGTCATTTTCTTACAGATATATCGCTTTATTATCATTTTCACCGAATGACAATCGATGTTTATCTTAAGGAGGGATTCTTGTCTGGTTTCTGACTAGATGAAATATTCAAAGTATATTTGCTTATATGTCTTATATATTTAGAAGTAAGGGATTTAAAAGATAATATTTTTCTTTCCTCAACATAATTGTACAACTTTAAATAGAAATGGTGAACTGAGCTTGAAATCTAGCAGGGATTATATTTTTGGCGGAACGGCGGCGTATGAAAATATCTCCTTTTCTGCTTCTCAAAATTACTATAGAACAATGAATTTTGTTAAAATTTTAAACAATTAAAGACTCAAAGAAAATTTCAAATGTAAGTAAAATTAATAATAATGGACTGGAGTTTTAAAATATATCAAATAAATATGATTTCCCAAACAAACTACAATTTTGTTAACTTTTAAAATCTTCCAATCTAAGTACAGCTTTGAGCAAAAAATTTTCTCTCTTAGTACACGGTCAAAACTTTTTGCTTTTGTATCAATTTGTATCTTTATATGACTACTTTACCATATGTGAAAATAAGAAAAATTTAAATATACGAAGCATATAAATATAACAAATATATCCGAAAAATCTAAGAAAAATAGAGGAAATTCGGATTAGCCAATATCTATGTTAGTTAAATTGTTTATGTCAATTGTTTATGTCAATTTGGTAGTATCATCTGATAAACCCTACATGGTAATATCATTTTATGCAAAAATCAAAACATTTAATCTTTTGAAATAGAAGTAGGCATCGCATGATTGGCAACAGTATTTTTTTATTCTTACGGTCAAGGAAAAAGACAATGACCTTGACATGACCTTGCTTTTAAAATAAAACGGTCAAATTTAATCTAATTGAAACCATCACTTAGTAATGATGTCTTCTTGAATCTATAAAAATTTAATTAATTTTTAGATACTAGAAATATGAGAAAATCCCTCCTTAAGAAAGTGTGTCGTTTTTTAGCTTATTACATATATTCAGGAAGAGCATATGTAGATTGCATTATTTTTGTGATCATTATTAGTATAAAAAATACACCTGTATTGTTTTGTAACCAAAAGTATACAGATTGTTTAGTAAAGCCAATGTCAATTGTATTTGAATGATGCATGTAATAGGATAATCTTTGTTTCTGTTAACATACAGTGTATCTGAGCAAAGGGTTGAAACGAGCTTTCTTACATGTAATAACAGTTTTTGTCATCATCTAAGTGTCATAAGGGCTTAACATCAACCCAACTTCGCATAAAGATTTGTTTTGTAATGAGATTTCGGGGTTTCTAAAGACAAAAGACCATTAAGATATAATAAATAAAAAGTAAGAACATGTTGAGACAGTTCAAAATCTTATTTCAAGAACATCTGGGCCGGGAAAGTCAAAATTGGAAAACTATCTTACTGAGTCTAGATTTAATTTGTTCAAATTATTATATCCATGGCCCAGATGCAAGGATAAGGACACAATATAGGATCTTTTTTTCGATATAATTGATTGTACGTTGTTATTCGTCCCGTTCGAGAATTTCTCACTCATATAGAGATGTCACCATATACCGGTGAAGGGATTCAAATTTAGACTTTTACTAGGCACTGAAGGCCATTGAGCAGTGGGGGATCTTTATCGTGCCAACATCTGCCGTGACACGTAGACTCGGTTTAAAGGTCTCATCCGAAGGACCCGAACTTTCACTTCAAAGTGCCGCGCACTTGGCATAGAAACAATTGAAAACTTTTTTTTTTTATCGACTTAGGTCACTCGCGGTCGGGGTTCGAACCAACGACCTACCGATCACGGAGTGTGCGCTCTACGGACGGAGCTACCGTGATGGTCTTTTAGATATGAAGAAAAAAATTGTAAAAAATAATATTCTGATAACAACAAACACATTTTTCGTAAAATTGAATCACTAGATATATTGTACATATTTCTTTGTTGTCATCTGTGATCTGAGGCTTTATAGGGACTATATAATAGGACTTACAGTTGTTAAAATTAAATTTTAGTTTTATTACTTCAGCAACAAATAGCTACATTTACTAAGGTAACTTTATAAAGCATTTTGAAAAATGTCATAAAAATTAATGTTGCTTTCTTTGCAATACAGAGTGGCACAAATGATTAGCAACGTTTTGATTCAAAAAGAAATATCAAAGAATTTTTAATTCTTTACACTTTTTTTGAATTACTTGTACACTGTCTACTTCAATATTTTATAATGCTTGATTAATATATTTATTATTATAACCACATCTAGCATATACATGTATCCATATCTGATAAATCTTGTATATTAGAATCTATTGCGTTTATTTGAAAATTACTTTTTTGCTATCCTGAAATCTGATGTAATCATAGACAGCTCTGCTCACATTACTGCTTTTCGTAGGATTAGTTTGTTATGATATTGATTTCTTTTTTCTCTCCTTTTCTTTCTTTTTTTTTGGATGAAACTTTGTTGATTTGTGCAAAGTGTAATGTTTGTTGAATTGATTTTTAGCTGTTTTGATTTTATTGAATCTTTTCACTTAATTTTACTTACTTTTTGACAAAGGAGCTGTCTACATGTATATATTTCACAAGCAAATGGATTTAGTCAACAATTTTCCAAAGGTTTTTTTTAAAATACATTTTTCATTAACTTCCCTTTACGATGTTTCATGAAATTGTTTTAGTATTTTTGAATCTAACTTAAAAGGCATAAGATGAAAGTGGT